CGACACAGGCAAGAGACGCGCACACAGTGGTCTAGGTCCTAAGTCCGCCGTATAGTTGCCCACCACTCAGTAAGCCGCCTTTTCGTGGCTGCGACCGCGTACCGTCCCCCCCCATTGTCGCTGCTTCCATCTTCATCAAGCCTTTGAAACCCGAGCGCCTGTGGGAGGGTTGCACCCTCCACCTGAGAAGTTGGGAGACTCCTGCAGTGAAGGACGAGATGCCCCTGTGTCTCACTCGCTACGCCGCAAACTCTGCACAGGTTGCTGACCACAGTGGCATCAAACTTTCTGCGGTACTCCAGAGTGCGAAGAGCCCCAGCTCTCGCCTCGAACAGGAGGCTGCTGCCAATGCTATTGTCATAGAGGCGCGACCCACAGATGCTGTCCTGGTGTTTCCTGTAGCACTCGAGAGTGGACTTCGCCTCCATAGCTTCTCGCCATCGGGTTTCTTCTGCTTCTCTGACTCGCATGCGGACCTCGACCGTCCACTTGGCTGCTGTTTCAATAGGACTGGCTTCTGCAAAGAAGCCATACTTCTTCTCCAGCTGGTAGAGTCGTCGTGTCCAGTCAGTCCTCATGCATGTTGCCGAAAGGTACTCGAACACGCGGCGCGCCCATCGAGTGCGTCGCATGAGCGTGAGACGACCCCGATAGGCAATCTTGCTGGCGGCTTCCCGAGCTTCAAAGCTGGACCATCCGACGTCTCCCTGAATCGCCTCGTTGGCCACTCGATAATGGCAACCGAGCGCTGCACGGCCGACCTCTCTCTGCTGACGCTCCAACCACTCCCGTGTCGTTGGCGATATGCACACTACCGCGTTTCCAAACGTCAGGCCCGGCACGTGAACCATCTTCCACAGGTCCCGGATCATCTGAAATCGGTTGCAACCCCATAGGCATCGGCGACGAAGGATTCGTTGAGCCTGCAACGCAGTCTGTCGAATCACAGTCTCGTGTAGACTATATTTTGCTGCATCCACACACAGGGTGACGCCCAGGTATCTGTAATCGTTGCGTGTGGCCAGCAGTTCTCCTCCTAAAGTCAACGCTGCTGCATCAGTACTCCCTCCAGTTAGACGGACAACCGCCGATTTCTTAGTGTTGAATCGAAGTCCAAGACTCGCGAGTTCCGTCTGGCAGATGTCGAGGAGGGATTGCAACTCCTGGTTACTCTCTGCCATAACCACCAGATCATCTGCAAATGCCAAACCAGGCAGGTGGAAGTTCTCTTCAGCACTAGTTGTGCTGAAACGCATGCTGAATCCGAGGTTGGAGTTCAACAAGGCCCGCTCTATTCTGGATGCGTATAGAATGTACAGCAATGGTGACAGTGGGCAGCCCTGCCTCAGACCCTTATTTACATGAATTGGGCCAGTAGTTATGGCACCCAACTGCACACTCACTACATTGTCACTGTACAACCGTTGTATAGTGGAGATTAGCAGCCGGGGCAGTCCAAGGTCAGACAGGCATGCAAAGAGAGGACCGTGCGGCACGCTATCGTACGCTTTTTCAACATCGAGGAAGCAGCACAACAGCGTTCTCCCTTCCCTGCGAGCTATTTCTGCACACTGTGTGACGACGAACAGATTGTCATCCAGACGTCTGCCTGGCCTGAAGCCATTCTGAAGCTCGGTCAGTAGTCCCTTGGTTTCCGCCCAGCCACTCATCCATGCTTTGATGACCCCCGCGAACAAGCGATACATAACACTGGTGACCGTTATTGGTCTGTAGTCCTCTATGTTCCTCGCATCTCCGCCCCTTTTGGGGATAAGAATCACCTTCCCTTCATGCCATTCTTTAGGGATGGGCTCGCCTTCGATGATGGCCGTGAGGATCTCTGCGAGCTGTTCCCTCGAGTCTTCTCCCAAGCACTTTAGTACGCGCGCTGGCATGCCGTCCAGACCAGTGGCCGTTCCAGCCCTAATCCGCTTCAACGCCCGTTCAACTGTGAACCTTGAGAGGGCCCAGGGTGGTTCTGTTTGGCTTGGGGGGTGTTCGGTATTAGGACTGATTGCCTCCTCTTTACTAAGGGTGGTGTCTGTATTCAAGTCTGAGGTCCCGAAAATCCGGGAGAAGTGCTGTGCAATGTATTCACAGGGCTCTCCGACTGGTTGCCCCTATCGTATGCCCCTATCGTATGCCACGAGGTCACGCCACCTGTTATGAGTCTCTCTTATAAATGACACTGTTTCGAAACAAGATTTACGGCCTACGTAAGGGCGATTTCTCGGGGCAACTAGCCCGTAGATGTAACACCATGAGGCGATCAGAGGCGCGATACTGCGTGTGCGCCCTGTGACCTTGTACTGTTTGAAACTGACTGCGCACATTAGGCGTTGATTATCGCTCCAGATGAGATAAAATGCCGAAATTAGCCAACGCAATCCTTGTGCGCTGTTGACGCGCACGTCGTTTCTCGTGTACTTCTTCAAAGCGCTCGCGCGAATTGGTCCACGCTTGTAGTGCGGTGCTCATTAAAGAGTGTGTTCAGTTGACTGCAAGTGTTCTGTTTGAAGCCAATCGCTGCATGTGCCTATAATTATGATGTTGGAATATCTGCTTTCACATTGTTGTCTCTCGGTCGGAATTGATGTTGGTCCTGCTTGACTGCTGTAGAAATTTAAGCTTTTCTGTTTAGTGAGATGGAATGTAAGTGAAGCTAATATGCCGGCACCCGACAGAGTTTGTTAATAGCAAGAGTATAGTTCAAGAGAGAAAAAGACCCTACATACCAGTGAGATAATATTTATTTTATTTATTTATTTGTTGATACTGTAAATATCTACAATATACGATAGTTACACAGGATAACAGAAAATAATGATAAGAAATAGTAATCATAATGAACCTATGGTAATTAAAAAGCACACAAAAAAACTAACGCAAGCTCTATTCATCGCAGTTACGTAAAAAACTCTGTAAAGGAAAAAAAAAACAAAAAAAGAGACAGGCAAGCACATGTAATATAAAATAGATAACAACTTTTACCATGCTTCATATACAGATGAGAATGGCTATGGCTGACTTTGCAAGCTATAGCCATTCACTGCAGTGTCACCTAAGAATTATTAACCAATTCGGACTACCTGTAATTTTTTTTTTCATGAACAGCTAGCCTTTATGAGGCAATTTCGTCCAGCAATCGTCTGGCCCTGCGGAATATCTTAAATCACCGAAAAATAACTTGCCGTCCATTTCGCTCTTTCTTCCTTGCACACATATACATGCGTTCAATCATTGAATGAGATTTAGTGCCAGACATGTCGCATAGCTGTCAGTATATATACTTGATAAACTTTGTAGTATAGTAAATGCAGACAGTTTTCTTTCATGGTCAGGACAATCGAATCAGCGTGTATAGAGTTGGAATTAATGAGAATAACTTCTATATAAACTTGCAGAAAACACTAACCGTATTTCCGGTGCGAATCTCGGTGCTTAAGTTGTCTTCATGGCACTAATTTTTGAAGTGAAAAAAAAAAAGTAGTTTCACAGCAGTCTTTGGGAATTTGTTTTTATTCGTTTCGCCTTGGTACTAATGCTTCCTCGATTTGTAGTTGCATGTAGTTGCATGTGCAGGCTATATATTCAGGAACGGGTGAGCGGCGAGCAAATACCGTGTAGCCGTAGTAAGTATCGTATGTTATTGTTACACAGCGGGGCCTACTCGAGGAAACCTTTGTTTTGCATTAGTCCTAGCGTTAGCTTTGTTCTTTAATGTACGTACCCGGCGTGCGTTCCGAGACACCGCACGTAGTGGCGACGCCAGGTCTTTCTTTACGTTGGTCTGTGTTGATCATCACCGCCTTTGCGTTGAACACTGAGCTGTTCCATTTGGACCTGCACGGCTGCCGTCGCTGTTATGAAGTTTGTTTAACCGCTTACGGAGTAACATTGTTTACATTTTTAAAGTCATGCGTGGAGGAAGTGCACAGTGGGTGGTGTAGAGCGCGGGAAGAAAGCTGCGATATAAAACCCAGCTTTTTCGACTGACCACGCATCCCAGCATCAAAGGCAGAAAAGGTGACCACATTCATTAAGTCCTATGTGAACAAGTAAACCTGCATGCCAATAAGTACGTACTTAAATCGCACATTAAGAAAAATCATAATTGATATGGGGGGTTCAACGTCCCGAAAACTACCATATGATTGAGAGACGCCTTAGTGGAGGGCTCCGGAAATTTCGACCACCTGGGGTTCTCTAACGTGCACCCAAATCTGAGCACACGGGCCTACAACATTTCCGCCTCCATCGGAAATGCAGCCGCCGCAGCCGGGATCCGAACCCGCGACCTGCGTGTCAGCAGGCGAGTACCTTAGCCACTAGACCACCGCGGTGGGGCTAAGAAATATCATAAGACAGAAAAATAGAAGTACACAGACGATTGCACTCCTCGGAGAAAAAAGATATACGAGGGGTACAGGCGAACAAAATACATAAGAAATATTTCAAAGTTTTTTGTCTCAGTGTCGTCGTTTTGTTCTCGCGCTATAACTATCGTCATGCCATACCAACCTAGCCCAAGCTGCCACACTTATGCGACAGCTAGAGGGCGAGTCGCGCAGAGGCGAGTGTCGGCCGCGCGCTATGGGCTTCTACTACAAGGAACCGTAAAAGGAAGCACGTGGTGCCAAGCGGTGGTTTATATAATCGCTTCCTGTGCCGCCGTCCTAATCCCGCCGCTCGCTCTCCCAAATGCACGCGGGAGAGCCTCCCTTCTGCAGAAAGTACCCTGTGAGGGAAAGTCAACTGTCGGGGGCGTCTCGCGCTGTTTGATGGGCAATGTACGAAGTGTACTACTTTTGCTGGATGCAGCTGAGTATTTTCCTGTACATTGGTGCTAAGGGGTTATCGTTTTGTGAAATACTTCGATATAAATGATAATTTGATTTACCAGAGTTCGATTTAGTCTGCTTTGACCAGATACATTATTTGGTGAGGATGTAAATTGCACAAATCTTAGTTGCCGGGTCCGTTGTGTTGCAACCTTGCAGGAGGTGTAACGAAGCAGGCCCAGGACCGCCGCCAGAAGCAGTGACCGAGCAGACTCGAAGGAGCAGAGATGGCCCCCGAACGACGCGTGCCCATCCAGAAGTCCGACCTCAGCATCCTGGACAATGAGTTCAGCTCGATCCGGGAGCGTTTCGAGGCCGAGATGCGCAAGATGGAGGACGAGATGTCGCGCTTCCGCTCCCAGCTCATGGACCACGAGCGCGACTTCTTCGCCAAGAGCAATGCGCCGCTCCAGGTGGGTACGGCCGCCCCCGCAGGAGGGCTCTCCCTCCCTCCCGGTGCTGCTGGACAGTCTGCAGTGAGTGGTGCTGGCGCATGGCTTGCATGCATGCATGCCCTGCTCTCTTTTCCTCCTCGCTTCCAGCTAGTTTGCTTTTGAAAGTAACGGAAACAGTACATGTGGTAGCTGCAGAGGCTGCAGTTAGGAAACTTTCTCGTGAGGGTCGAGGAAGAGTGGCGTAGTGGGGCAGCCTGCACGACTGTTTCAGTACCCTATGTACTTACATGATTGCTTTGTCAGCTTAGCTGGTCTGGACACTAAATAATAATACAAGCTCTCTTTTGTTACTAAATGTTGAGTTTAAAATTTACATAAATTAACACGATATTCCTCATGCTTATATCAGCGTTATAAATCTGGTTTCCCTGTATTATTATATATATTATGAATGAATTAGAGCTGATAATAGGCGGAAAAGAACTAAGTCCGGCACACTCGCATTACCAGTGTGAGGTGAGGCGCTCGTACCTAATACTTCGGAATAGCTACCGTCTCATTCAATTTCAGTTCAATTTAAATATTGTACAGCTTAACAGCAGTGTGGTATGAATGTTTTGCAAATTCAGCTTTGAAGGCAGCTTTTTGAAAAAGGTGACCAATTGCGTCCTTTTAAATGTGGCTTCACTGTAAAACTGGTGACTCTGCAGCAAAGCCGCACTCGAAAGTAATGTGTATGTTAAGCCCTAAAGTGTAAGTTCAGCCCCAGCGCTGGTTATGTACATCGAAGTAGTTTCTTGCCAGCATGTTGCACTCGAAGTTTTGCATGTTTTCCTTGCACTAAAGCTCCTGTTTATTCAACAATAGGTTAATGATGCTGTCACCCTGACCTTCCTGACTTGTTCTTCTGATCTCAAAGCATGAGCACTGCTAATTGAATTTTCCTTTTTTGCCACACTTGAGTTGGAAGAGACAGTGATGCTGTGCAAATGTCTTTGGAGTGTGTCCTGTGCTTTTTGCTCAGCATCGTCTTACATTTCTTTGTTTTTCTTGGCAAGCTATTGGTCACACATCATTTTTCATGCTTGCTCATCAACCACTGGAACAGTCTGCGTGCCTGTTGTTGCATTGTGTTGTCTATTTATTATTCCATAAATTGACTAAATGTGCTTGCAATGTGCAAAGGTTCATATGCAAATGGGGAGGTGAAATAACTTGGGCTTTTCTTATACTTGTCATACAAAGAAAGCTAGTGTTTGCATTGTTTTTGAACCAGCAGTGGCATAGTATTATAGTTTACAAGAGTTTTAAACAAGCTTCATAAAGTTTAAAACAAGCTTCATATGTTGGTTTGTGGATGACTGTGCCTGTTGTGGTGCCTGTGCCTGTTGTGCCCATTGAAAGAGCTTTATTATTGCTGTTGAAACCAAACAGTCATGGACTCTTGTGTATTTTGTGGCTGCCAGAATTAGCAAAAATGAATAACACATAGCTAATTGATCAGAAAATATTAGCTAAATAAACATGGCAAAGTTTGTCAACACCTGAAGTCTGACTGGATGCACAGCTTTAAGGGAAGTGTTGTGTATATGGTGTCTTTATTTACAGTGCTTCCGACTGGAATAACTTTAGGCATGTCAGTGCAATGCCTAACAGTAATGACATTTTAAGTGCAGGTGCCCTTCTCATAGCTGGCTTTCAAAACGAAATTGGCTGCTGCTCCCAATAATAATTGGCAGGAAATAAGCATTTCCTTACAAGCAAAGTCAGCTTTTCTCTGTTGCAGCCACATTATACATGGTTGGATAACATGCTGTCTTCATTTTGTTCTTTGCTGCCGCCAATACCTTGTCTTTCACATTATGGTGCCAATGTTGTGCTCAGAGACTGTGGCAATTCTGAGCGAAATCTGGCTGGCAATATTAATATAGAATGCTTCTTACAGAATTCCCTTCTTGTAAGAACATTGTAGCAAGTGATGAGCATGTTTGTCAAATCTCGGTAAAGCATCTTTAGGGTCACTGGGTTATACACTGGATAAAAGGCAGGCTTGAACGAATGCCTAGCTTACTTAGCTGCACGGTTTTGTTTCACTGGATGAGCAGGGATCTGGCCAGCTGCCACCAGGCATGGGCGCAGCCAGCAAGACCTGGTTGGACAGCATGAACTCGCCGCTCATTCAGGATGCCGAAGACGGAACCAAGCAGCTCAAGCTGCGCTTTGACGTCTCTCAGTATGCCCCCGAAGAAATTGTCGTCAAGACCATCGACAACCGGCTGCAGGTGAGTGGTGCAGTCGAGGCTGTCCTTGCCTTCAACAACACGGTGGCTGTGGTGTTCGGCTGCAGACGCAAAAGTCGCATGTTCAATCCTGTTTGCGGTGGTCGCGTTGCAGTGAAGGCGAAGTGGTAGACGTCAGTGTACTTTGCAGGTGTCGGTGAGCGTAAAAAACGCAAGATGGTCGAACATTTTGAAACTATTTACCTATGGCATCTCTCATAATCATATCAAGGTGTTGGGGCATAAAACCTCAGATATTATTATTGCCCTAAATGCAGACAAGGTATGCAAGGATTTTTTTTTATGGTACATGGGCTGCAATTGTCAGTTTCAATGTCTACCGTGCAAACACATTGGATGTGACTTAGTGTACTGCAAGACATAATTACTTTCATACAATGTCATGCCAAATTGAAAATTCGTAGGCGATCTCGAATTTTATACAATCTTGAGACCCACAAGTTGTGCTGAATCTTGCGCAAAGGCCTTATTCTAAAGACCCTCTTCACACTGGAGCATGGGCCCTTGCTTGCTTGGTAATCACGCACTCATGGCCACTCGTGTGACCAAATCCTTTAGAAATTTGTTTCTTCAGTGCAGTCGACAGCTATTTCAGTGCTGCTTGCTTTTTAAGAAACTGAGGTATAGGCCTGCATTCCATACTTAGAGGGCAGGAAGTCCGATCTACCGTTACCTATTCTTGCGCAAAGGCATTTCTCGACGGGCCATAACTACAAACAAAACCATATAATGCAACATGTTTTATTTATTGTGAAAGCTGATGGGATGTGTAGTAGAATAAGTGAGAAAAGTGTAAAAAATATTAACACTTGTCTTTTTCAATCGGTTGTCAGAAGTCTCACTTGCATGTGCTTTGCTTGAAGTTAGCGTGAATATATCTTTTTATTGAAAAGTTCTAATAATACAAGCTTTGGCAGTTTTATAAGTAAGCATGCTGAAAAAATGAAGAATTTTCACCGATGTGCCATAGGCCCTTCGTGAAATAAAGGCCTGCAAACTAGGCAGGAAAACATTTTTTAGGTCAATTTTGAGAATTTCAAATAAAAATCTATACTACGCAGACAATGCAAAGTAAATATACTTTCTCGTAAGCGCTAGTACGCCTATATGTAGCCAAACAAATTTGAAGCCCATAGATTCTTGTATTTTGTGTAATTCATCGCCGAATTCGAAAAAAGCAGCACAGCAGGTAAGGGTGGCATGCCACCTCTCTGTAATTATTATATACATACACACACACATATATATATATATATAAATATATATATATCTGTAAGTACTGATAACAAGGCCGACAATAAGATAAAACTGGTTCATGATAAACTGCATATTAACAACGAGATTTATGCGTGGGACGAAGCAAAAGATTGCCGGGTGCTCGTGCGCAAAGGTAAAAAACGAGAACTGAGCACTAAACCGAAAAACACGAAAAAGGCGAACGAATGACTTCCGGATTCTACAAAGCAACAACCGAAAACACTGAGGCTCATTTCCCTTAATGTGCGAAGCTTATGCAACAAACAAGGAGAACTGGAACACGTGTTGTTAACATATGACCCGCACATAGCTGTCATCTCTGAAACCTGGCTTTGCCCAGATTTGCCTGATAATTACGTGATTCCGTCTTCATATGCGTGCTATCGCAAAGATAGACTTACACGAGGAGGTGGTGTGGCAATTCTTGTGAAGGCGGGCCTTTCATCTATTTCACTGCCTGCTGTTAACCCTGACCACGAAAGTGTCTTTTGTAAAATAAATATTTCAGGAAACCATATTGTTATTGTGGGAACTTATAGACCGCCGGGAGCTCCCTGTGAATTTTTACTTGAACTGTATGATCATTTGGCAGTGTATAAGGATCAGAACATTATTGCTGCGGGAGATTTCAACTTACCGCACATAGATTGGTGCTCGATGTCATCAGGGGGCACTGATACAAAGAACTCCGAAATCCTTCTAGATACCTTATTAGCTTACAACCTTACACAGACAGTACTATATCCAACACGGGTGACTAGCACTGCTTCCTCCATTCTAGATTTAATTTTGTGTTCAGCCAGCTTTACTGATCATACCACAGAAATTCACGAAGGAGTCTCGGACCACAAGCTCGTATATTTTTTCTGCAAGCTTCCAAACCGAATCAAGTTAAACAACGCTAAATTCGTAAAAGTAAAAGACTACAACGCTGCAGATAACCCAAACATTGCCCACCATTTAGAAGAAGCATTACTGACATTTCACGATGACGATGTTAACGTCTTATGGGCAAAGTTTAAGTCATGCTGCAATTATTGCATCAGTAAGTTTATTCCAGATAAAATGAAAAAAATCAACAAAGCCAATCCTTGGATAACCAGAGAAATTATACATTTGAAACGTAAACTAAAGCGGTACCGAAAAAGGAAGAACAGGGATGCCGCCCTCCTTTTTAAGCTAAGTTCTAAGTTGAAATCTAAACTACGAGAAGCTAAAGAGCGCTTCTATTCAACCACCCTTGGGCGCTTTGCTACCGAATCCCCTCACAAATTCTGGCAATTTTTATCAAACAAGGACTCAAGAAGCGTAGATCAAATAGCTGTTGGTGCTCGCATTGTTACAGATAAAAAAGAAATTGCTGAAACGTTTAATTCCTATTTCCAGAGCGTATTCTCTAGGCCAGCCACGCTGGGTAATACGCCTTACGTCAACGATAGCAACCAATATATCCATATTACTGTCGAAGGTGTTACTGAGCTGCTCTTACGATTAGACCCTAAAAAATCCGCAGGACCTGATAACATTCCCACCGCATTTCTCAAAAGATATGCAGAGCTCCTAGCTAGATTCTTGGTACAGTTGTATTCTAAGTCTCTTGAAACTTCTTGCCTCCCACTTGAATGGTTGGTTGCCCGAGTGAAACCAATTTTTAAAAAAGGCTCTGTCACCGATTATTGTAATTACCGACCCATATCTCTCACTTGCACAGTTTGTAAAGTTCTCGAACACGTAATTGCTAAACACCTAAATGATTTTCTTGACAACAATAATCTTCTTACTAACGTACAGCACGGTTTTCGAAGAGGTTTTTCAACTGCAACTCAATTAGTAGTTACCGTCCATGAGATGGCACAGGTACTTGACGAGGGCGGACAGATTGATGCAGTTCTAATAGACTTCTCGAAAGCGTTCGATAGAGTTCCACACTCGAAACTAATAACAAAAATGAAAAACTTAGGCATTCCATCACAAGTCGTCAATTGGGTCATTTCATACCTAACTGGCCGCAAACAGTATGTTGAAATTGACGGTGCCTGTTCTCGTTTTCTTGATGTTTTCTCTGGCGTCCCACAGGGTTCGGTCTTGGCACCGGTTCTATTTAACATTTATATTAATGATCTTGGCCAAATTGTAAAGCCCCCTCTACGCCTTAAGCTGTTTGCAGACGATTGCATCATATTTAGCCACATAGTGTCTGCCGCTGACCAGCACGTTCTTAACCATGCTTTGCATGCAATAACGGAATGGTGCAATAAATGAGATATGCTTATGAATCTCGACAAGACAGTTCACATGTGCATCTCCAATAAGAATAAATCTCACTTCATGTATAGTCTTGGCAATTATCAGATTAAACAAGTGGAGGAACATAGGTACCTGGGGTTAACCTTGACGTCCAGACTTAACTGGTCAACACATATAAATAACATATGTTCCTCCGCGAGAAAGAAGTTAGGATTTCTGAAGCATAAATTAGGTGATGCCCCCTCGTCGCTTAGACTCATTGCATACAAATCCATTGTAAGACCCACCCTGGAATACGGAAGCATTGTATGGGACCCCCATACTATCACTAATAAAGAAAAGCTTGAAAAAATTCAAAGATTGGCAGCTCGCTTTATTTATAAACGTTTTAGACGTCGCGACTCCCCTTCAGCTATGTTGGAGCTCGCACACCTAGAGCCATTGGCCAACCGACGTAAAGGTGCCCGTCTAAACTTTCTACACCAGCTATATTTTAATAAATTGGGAATCCAGTCACAAGATTACATAGCTAATAACCCTAGTCGAGCGTCTCGTCACAAACATAGCCGAAGTATTACACGGTTCTTTGCCCGTACAGACCAATACAAATATTCATTTTTTCCCAGAACTGTTTCCGATTGGAATGTTTTGCCAGAGTGTTCACCCTTGCTGTCATCCAATGTATAATGATTGTATACTTACCTGTTGATTATGTACCCTCACATTCATGTGTCGGTCTTGCATCCGTACGCATGTCTTCTGGATGTGTACATCCCTCTCCTGCTTGGACCTCTCAAGGTTCGCAGTATTGTACAAATAAATAAATAAATATATATATATATATATATATATTCTTTAGTTGAAACTTCAATTGTATAATGCAGTTGTTTTTTGTCATTCAAAAAAGATCGAACAAAGCATGGCTGGTCGACCTCTTAAATTTCTTTCAAAATTTTATATACTGTTGCCTGATCAGAGGAAAGATGAGATCCGCAAGTGATTTTACTGTAACAGATAATAATGACGGAGAGGTGGAATGTCACGCTTACCTGCTCTGCTGCTTTTTTCGAATTTGGCGATGAATTACACAATATATACTGAATCTACCTGCTTCAAATTTGTTTGGCTACGGCTAGATATAGGCGTACTAGTAAACACACACACACACACATATATATATATATATATTATATATATATATATATATATATATATATATATATATATTCTTTAGTTGAAACTTCAATTGTATAATGCAGTTGTTTTTTGTCATTCAAAAAGATCGAACAAAGCATGGCTGGTCGACCTCTTAAATTTCTTTCAAAATTTTATATACTGTTGCCTGATCAGAGGAAAGAAGAGATCCGCAAGTGATTTTACTGTAACAGATAATAATGACGGAGAGGTGGAATGTCACGCTTACCTGCTCTGCTGCTTTTTTCGAATTTGGCGATGAATTACACAATATATACTGAATC